AAAAGAGATGTTCATTGCAGATACATTATCAAGGGATTTTTTAAGCATAGAAGGTGATAAAGATTCTGAAATAGAGTTAGTGGTTCTTGAGTTAGTAGAAAGTTTGGCTATGTCAAAAGAAAAACAAGAATTATTTAGAATAGAAACAGAAAAGGATAATGAACTAAGTACCCTGATTAAAATGTGCAATACTGGTTGGCCAATAACTAAGAATAAAGTTCCACAAAACATAAAAWWWTTTTGGAATCTTAAACATGACCTAATGATTATAAATGGACTAGTATTTTTAAACAAAAAAGTTGTTGTGCCGGAGGTATTGAAAGATCCAATGTTAAAAATAATACATGAAGGACACTGGGGAATAGTCAAGTGTAAGTCCAGAGCAAGAGAGTTACTATATTGGCGTGGTATGGATAAAGACATAGAGAAATAAGTTCAGTCTTGTACTGTTTGTACTAAATTACAAAGTTCTAAACCTAAAGAACCTTTATTATCTCATCCTGTACCAAACAGATCTTGGGAAAGATTAGGAGCAGAAATATTGGAGTTTGATCATAAGTATTATCTGGTAGTCGCTGATTATTATTCCAACTGGATAGAATTGTTACATATCTCTAATAAGTCAGCAAGTGAAATAATTTCTAAATTTATGTCTATTTTTGCTAGGTTTGGTAGCCCTGATGCAGTAGTAGCTGGCAATGTACCATTCAACAGTATTGAATTTAGGAACTTTGGAAAAGATTGGAACTTTGAAGTGATAACAAGTAGTCCCACTCGTATTGAAGGTGTTAGTTTTTCCCCAGCAGAACTGTTAATGACTAAAAAACTTAAAGAAAAATTACCTGTCTTAGAAAGTCTTTTGAGACCAAAATACATTAACCTCGATAAAGTAAAAAATAGTTTAAAAAGAAAGAAAACAAAAGCAAAAGCAATATTATGATAGACATGCAAAAAAGTGTAGCGAATTTAGGCCACATGAGGATATATTATTCTTAAAAGATAATGTGTGGGTACCTGGAAAAATTATTAAGAAAGCCAATGCACCTAGATCTTATTGGGTGAATGATATGTGTAAAAAAGAGTTTAGACGAACAAGTAGACATTCGAGGAAAATATACTTAGGACCAATTAGTATAAATGGTGAAAGTGATGAAAATGTAGATCTTAAAGGAAAAATTGTTAAAAATGCAGTTACTAATGAGAGAGGTGAAGAAATAATTGTTAATAATATTGTAAAAGGCAGCGTAAACCAAATATAAAGAAAGACTTCCTATATTATTGATTAATTAATTTTTGTAATACTATTACCTATGTATAATTATTCTTATGTTGTATTTGTTATTTCAAAATAATTAATATTTAATTACTTAGCTTCGAATTTTTTGTATCAACTCTATATTGTGTATTCATTTAAATCTTAAGTGTAAGGATGTTATGTATGGTCACACTGCTGTTCAGCAGTTAACCTATAAACACTTATTATTATTATTTGTCTGGTTGTCACTATATTAGTATGTTGTCCATGTATTATAATTTATATTCTGTATTATATTATATTGTTGTATCCTGTATATACTAGACACCCTGTATGCGATATGTGCGTTCGCTG